CCTAGAAATGCAGTTTGGTGCATGGAGACTAATTTTGAACAGAGAGACTAATTCAAAGAGACTGTTTATCAATAAATGTTGGTGGCTTCATATACTTTTAAACATTGAAGTAAAGGTAAGGTACCGTGTGACAATCATTTCTAAAGATACAAATCAAGAGTGTAAATAATATTTGTTTTCTTTTTACTGTGGTTATTACTAAGTTTTATATGCTATTGATATCTTTAGGTCCGATTTGGTGAAAAATATCTGCAGTTCCACCTGAAATTCCAACTAATGTTTATTATGGCTCCTTCAGCCATTCAGAAGGTAACAAATTGCCTGTCTGATGTGTCTAATAATGATGTTTTTCCTCTAATGTTTACAGCTGATTTGATTAAGTTTCCACTAACAAATCCGAGTGATTAGCTGCTCTAAAAAATGTCTAATTAAACATTGACCATCCCCCTATTGTAATGTGTATCTGCTTGATTTAGAGTTGATTGACTGTGTCCTTGATTGATCTTTTCAAGGATTTTACTTCACATTTGCTCTGATGTTTTTAGAATGTAAAGCACTTTGAATTTTCAATTATTGAACTGAACTTTATTTAGGGAAGTAGGATTAATGTGAACTGAATCCAATTTCTGCCTCACCATCTCAGTGCATGGAGATTAAAGGGCAAAATGCAGAATTTGGACCAACATTTAAGGATGTATTGAGGAAGTTCTGTTCTTCAAGGACTTTTTGTACTTTATGAAACCTCACTTCTAATTTCCTGCAAAATTTAGGTTCGCACAAGGATTGCACTTTTTTATTTACCTCCTACAAATTCATCCTTTAATATCTTCACGGATTGCAAAGTGGAAACGACGTCAAAGCCCTTGTTAGCGAGCAGAAAATTGTCCATTAAAGCTGATTCTGAGTTGTCAGTGAAACTGTGCAGCAGATGTTAAGGACATAAAGCGCAACTCAGCAACACAATGTGATTTCTAGAGAAACTGCTGTGGTTTTTCCCCTTTTCATACCTGCTAAATGGTTTCAGCTGAGTCAAAGCTGAGGACGGTGCAAACAAGGAGATAAGGCTTGCTGTCATCAAAAACCCATCAGCTGTGACTAAAAATAACCATCAACCACTGATTTATAAGAGACGCGTTTCTGGTTAGAGGAAGTTAAAATCGGAGTCCTTGCAACACAAGGACAGGATGCCCTGCGTTTCCTCTGCAGCTCTAAGTAATGCTCTAACCTTCTAGGAGACTTAGTGAAGGATTTCTCGAGGCCAATTCTTGAACAGTCCCGCCTGGACGCTTTGGGGATTTTAAGGGTCAATTTTCATGAACCCTAGCAAAGTTGCCTAAAATTTCCTCAAATTGTTTGACAGAATACACTCTGGGGATCGCTCCACTCTCTCTGTGACATCAGCTGCACTGGATAAAAAAACTGGAATATTTTCTAAAGTGTAAATAGGCTCTTTAAAGACTAAAAACTTAATTAGTTAATGTTCTACTCATGTTCTTCAGCTGGAATGGATTTACTTCTCCAATAATCATCAAGCTGTGTTGAATGACTGTTTTCTGTTTAGAGTGAGAGCCAATCGACAGCTGAACATTTAGAGCAGTCAAAAATGAAACAGTGTCAGATGATCTTCCATTGTCAGAAGGAAAACTACCGTCCTCTCTAAAAGCATTCATTCCTTCTCTACCTTTTTAAATTTTATGACGCCATGAAGACAAACCAAGTGTATTTTGTTTATTAGGATTTTTGTTTGGCAGATCAATGTAAAGTAGTGCACAAGCAAAGGGATATTCTTCATAGTTTACAAATTGTTTTATCAACAAAAATCTAATAATATTAATATTCAGTTCTCTTTACTCTAACATTCTTAAATTAAATCCAGTAACAAAAAAGTTTTATTAATTTACATCTCAGCCTTTGAACATTTCAGAGCACGGATTCTTAGACTACTTTTATTTGTTTTGTACAGCTTTTGTGAGATTTCCATTTCCTAAAGTGCAGCAGTGATCAAATGTAAACCGCGTGGGAGAAAAAACATTGTGCAAAAAAAATGCACTAATATGGAAGTACAGAGCATTAAATGTGTATGGTGCAATTATGCATTGATTTTGTTTGGTGTTGTTAGTTTGATGCAGAGTCTTTGACATGATTTAGAGTTTTCTCAACAGTTCAGCTGTCTGAATGTGATGGGGAAGAAGCTGTTTCGGAATCTGCTGGTCCGGCATTGAATGTTGCGTAGCCTCTTCCCATAGGGCAGCAGGGAGAACAGTCAGATTCCTTAACAATCTAAAATGGCAAGTGTATGAAAAAAAAAAAAAAACCTACCAATAAACCACCGCCCACCGGCTGTGGCAGCCAAAAAAAAAACCTACAGTAACTCTGGAGGAGCAGCATGGGTCAAAGACCTGGGAAGACACTTCGGCAACAGGAGAATTATAAACCATGCAATCCACAAATCATTGTTGTTCATAACAAACTGGCTGCAGGGAGACTTCTTTGTGTCTTTCTTTCACCAACTTTCCTCTTGCCAGGCATTTATAAAGGACAGATTTGAGGAGAGTGGAGCCAATTATCCAATGGATCAAAACCTGCTAGTTCATCTCAGTAAGGAAATCTTGTCTTGTTGGTTTTGCAGATAAGAAGCCCCTTCCTTTTTAAGACGATGCATTCAGGGCTGCTGCATGATCTGTTCAAAGCATGGGCAATATTTGTGAATCCTAACTCCTCTCTGACATTTCCACTACCGTATTCCTTGTTCCTGATGGTGCTGTTTGTTCTCCAATATTCTAACAAATCTCATAAACCTTCACGAGAATCTGTACATCAGAGATTAAAATTAAAACACAGACACATGCCATATGTTAATAAGGTGCTTTTACATAACACTATAATACATTTTTAAGACCAGGTAATATATGTATATATATTTTTTATATTACATTCAATAATTTAGTGCTTTGTGTGCCTGGCATAAAAAATATAATTAAGTTAAAGTTGTAGCCTAATACCCCAGGTGTTATACATTATTATCTTATTAAACGTTTTATTAATTTCACTTAGTGAAATAATTTATGGCTTACTTAGAAACTGGGTGATATTTTCAAACATTTATCTCTTTAAATCATGATGGTTTTCCAGTTTCAGCAAGATAATACATGCTTGAAAACAGTTATTTAAACCTAACGCATATTGGATTTATTTTGTGCTCCTTTACTTTGAAGTTAGGGTCTGAAAGTATCCCGGAAGCCACCCTCCGTCTGTTTGTTTGCAGGCCGGCTGAGCTCAGCCTGCTGGGGAGGAGGGAAGCTCCGGTTGTGATGCCGCTGGATGATGGCTGCTTTTGGGATCTTAAGTTACGAACACCGGCCTTTAAAACGGTCCCGCTTGGGGCCTCCGGACGTCTATCCCCAGGATCCGAGGCAAAAAGAGGTACGACCTTTGCTTTATGAGATTTAAAAGCCCAGGGTTATTTTTTTGGCCAAGGAAAATACTCTGAACAGAGCAGTGGAGCTAGGTAGCTAGCTAGCAGCAGTTAGCCCGTTTAGCAGCAAGTAGCTAGTAGCAGCTAGCCCGTGTAGCAGCCGCTGTGGGCCTCTCGGTAACAATAAGCAGCAGCAGCTCCTGTCTGGCAGCCTGTAAACTAGCTGTGTCCGGCTTAAGTTTGGAAAAACAACCCGCTGCTTTTATGGCTCGGTCAGTTTAGCCTGCCCTTCAGCTAATACTTATTAGGACAAATAAATATTCTACTGTTTTGCGATGGAAAACATTAGCGGTCGGGGATTTAAATTATACGCGACTTGTTGTTGTTTATTTTTGTTATTTAACTGGTACACTTTGGCGTTAGCTACGTCTGCTAATTTTACCCTTTAAAATATTTCTGGCATGCTTTAAAATAAGTGGTTAATTTGAATTGATATTTGGAAAGAAAATAGCTAATTAATTTGACATGTAGCTGATACAATGAGTGCATAGAGACTGAATAAGCTCAATCAACATTTAGCTTCAGGTGTTTATTGGTTTAATTTTTGGGGTGGCGATAAATCGCATTTTTGTCTGTTTGGTGAGAAAGCATTTCTGGATACTGGCAACTGTGTCGGTTTCCTGGTTAACCCTTTTGCACCGAACAAAATTAGAGACTTAACCACAAACCCTGCAGATTCCTGCTGTTTTGGCTCTCTTGTATCTAATGTACAAAACAAACTTTTAAATCTCAGATGAACTGTTAAGCAATTTTTATTATTATTATACTTTTATTTAAAACAGAGACTCACTTTTTTACCCACAGAACTCCATTAAGTAAATCTATGCCTATAAATAACGATTATGTTTCTAATCGATTAATCTGTTGATCTTGTTTTTTTTTTTAGATTAATCAATTAGTGATTGGATAGGAAGGTTACCTAAAGAAAATTTTTACAGAAAAAAAAAAAAAAAAAAAAAAAAAAATATATATATATATATATATATATATATATATATATATATATATATATTCTTAACCCTTCATGTCACTCAGTAAAATACTTTGAAAATCTAAATTTGAAGAGTTTCATTGGAGGAAAAGACAAGACCATATTACATTTCTAACATTAAAATATATATGTATGTATTTCATGGTAAAAATTAATGTCAATGTCAACAACAAAAAAACGACCACTTGCCCTAATATATTAAGAAAAACAACAATAGTTCTTCTCTAAAAAAATGTATGAAAAACACGGAGTGAAAGAAACACATTTTTTTTTTTTTGTTAAAGCATAACCTTAAAGGTATTAATAGTGATACAGGCACTTACATTTTTTAACTTTGCTTATTAACTTTTTCACTTTTTAGCTTGGCTTTTTACATTTTTTTTCTTACCATATTAACTTCTTTCCACTTAATTTATCGTAGGTAATCTACCATTCATGGGCTCATCTAATTGGTCAAATAGCACATACAGCTTTGCTGAATGGCTGGATATAAATCTTGTGCTTCTAGACATCAGACGGATGGGGGGTTCCATTTGTAACCCCCAGATTCCACATTCTCCGTCACTGCTCCGTTCCTACATCCTTTGGAGCACTTAGTCATGTTAATCAATGAGAACTATTCCCTATCCACCGCTACTCCTCCAAAGGTCATCTTCCATGTACATCTTCTCCGTCCATCAGCGGCAATTATTTTGATAATCAATTATTCCAAATCAATCCAATTTACTGTTTCAGCCCTAAATCAAACCCCAAATTTATCAGCATTAAACGGCTTGTTTGTGTTACTGCTTCTCTGTCCACGCTTTAACTAGGCCACTCTAAAATCTTTTTTTTTTACTGTCCAGATTTGAGCTTGTCTTCATGATTTTCTTTGTTCTCCAGCTAAATAACTCGAGGCTGCTTGCATCTGAAGTTTTGAACTGAACTCAGCTTGTTTTCTGTCAGACACTCTTTGCGTGTGTGTGTATTAGTTTATGTATTAGTAAACCTAATATAAAATGACACCCACCATCACTGAAGCTCCACAGTCTCCCCACCCATGTTGGATTTTCATACTTTTTGCTAATCATTAGCTTTGACATTGAAACTCTTTACTAGATGCAGTCTTTGTCCAGGACTCCTTCTTGTTTCTAAATTTTTTATCTAGGGCTGTCACGATAACCGCACTAATGAAATATCGCGATATCAAGAAGCTCACCACGCTACAAAACCAGCCACCTCCATCACCATATCGTGGGAGAACAGTTGAGAAGGATATGATGGCAGCTGCACTGGTATCAAAGCCAAATGTTGCTTCGCCCTTTTGGGAGCATTTCGGTTTTCAGCCAAATGAAAAGGGGGAGCCAGACAATTTTAATGAGGCAATTTGTAAAATCTGTAGCAAAACTGTTCAAGTAAAACATGGAAACAACGAATGTAAGGGCTCATCTACCTAGCTACCACCCAGCTGTTACAGTGGGGCTATCGCCGCCTCCTGCCACACAGAGTCATGCGGCGGCTCATGTCGGTGCCAGCCAACAGCTTGAAGTCAGCGAAGCCTTTGCTCGAATCGCCTAGTACAGCACAGACAGTGACAGACATAAACGCCTAACAGCCGCTGTTACACGGTACCGGGTTGAAGAAATGCTGCCATTTTCCACTGTGGAGAAACCTGCATTCCGGTCGTTCCTCCGAGCGCACCGTCCGAGGGGGTTTTCAGTGTGGCTAGAACTGTTTTCACCCCTCTCAGATCCTCTCAAACCGCATAAGGTTAGCATGCTGGTTTTCCTTATCCTCAACAAGGACAGGGCTGAGCTTTAAATCACCGTCATTTGTTTGTGTGTGAATTAAGAATTATGGTGCCTGTTACATTTAACTTTGTATAGGCACACTTACGGTAAGTAAAAAAAGAAAAACAAAAAAAACAAAAAACAAAACGGGCACTTGCTTTTTTTAATTAAAGATGCTGAAGTCAAATTTGCCTTTAATAGTTCAGCCTTCTTCTAAATTTTGTTGAATTTTGTCCGAAGTTCAGTCAGAGAAATGAGGCATATATGTGCCATTACTGCCCTTTGATCTGCGTTCAATAAAGTGTTATAAAATTGGCATGTCTTTTTTTTTTTTTTTATAACTTTTTTTAATGTTTAGGCGCCATGTTTTAAAGGAAAGATGCCATTTAGTTGGTAATTTAACAATATACAAACACATTTGCGAAATAAATAGATTAGAATAAAGAAAAAAAGATGCGGTGCGATAATATCTCATATTGCAATATTTAGCCTCTTTGAATAATCGCAGGGGGAATTCCTCAACCGCGACAGCCCTATTTTGATCTCTGATTAAAATTGAGGGAAAACAATGTGTTAAAAACATTCCTAGCTTCAGTTTTGACCTCCTGGACCCTCAACGTTATACTCTGGCATTATATAAGGATGTTGAAGGCTTCGTCACTTTCCTTCTAATCATACATGGGGGTCTGGGACAGTGGGGGCTGCGTACTGGCGCAGTGGATAGCACTGCACTCGCTTGCAGCAAGAACGTTCCAGGTTTGTTGCCCTTCCTGGGGTCTTTCTGCATTGAGTTTGCATGTTCTCCCTGAGCATGCGTGGGTTCTCTCTGGGTACTCTGGCTTCCTCCCACAGTCCAAAAACATTGGGCTGTGGGAGGAAGGTCGCCTCTCGCCCATTGATTGCTGGAGATGGGCACCACCCCCCCTGGAGGAGTGATGGAAAATGGATGGATGGTCTTACTGTGGTTCACTTGATTGGTGTGAATGAAATGGTCCTTAATTGATATAATCTTCAATGGAAAGCTTATTTCTTTCTGTTTGGTTCATTTTATTACTGTCTGATAGTAAAACCTTATGCGTATTTGGGGAGAAAACTGATGAAATCTGCTGGAGTGTAAATATTCTTTACAAAATCACAAAAGAGGAATCGATGCTTTCACAAATCACAAACATGTGTTTCAAAGAATCGACTTGTTGACTGTGAATTTTGCTGATTTTATTTCCTGCCAATTTATTTTTATGTATCATGGGGATTATACCTAAACGATGTTCAAGCTCCATCTTTTTAAACAGTCTCCGTGTGTTAGCCAAATATGGGCGCCCATCGTTAATCCCAACAAAAGGAGAAGGAATTTGGAATTTCCCCCCCCCGAAAAAAATTCTGAATATATCTTTCTGTTCAAAGTAGTTTCCTGCAATAAATACTTTCATAGCCTGGGCCGTGACGAGTTTGTGTCTGCCGACAGACTTGGTCATTCTTACTCACTTGTAAAGCTTTTAATCCATCTGTTCATCCATTTATCATGTTTTCCAGTGTTTGGTATTTCCTTTATTCACCACCAATGGTACCAGCCTACTTTTTTTTTTTTTCCTCCCATAAACCATCATTTCAGAGAAATGCTTGTTTACAAACGGCCTCTTTGCATGCTGGCTAACAGAAGAGTTGAAGTGTTCATAAAGGATCATTTTTGCTGCTTTATATTTAGATCTTTTTGCTCTCACCCGATTTTCTTTTATTCATTTTATTGACATAAACTCCTGTTCTCCCTCTTTAACATTTTTTTTTTCTAAAAGAAATTGCATCTAAAATGAATTTCTCTGCAGGTTTTCCCTTTTGCAACCACCTCTGTTTTTCCAGGCTCTGTGTTATTTATCCCTTTTTAACAAACCTTTGTATTCCTCTTTGTTTTGACTTACAGATGTTTAGTTCAGGATTTGTTTCAGTCGTGCAGCTAGCTGGTCCTATATTGTCTTATGAAGCCAGAACATGTTTGGTCTTTATTTGTGTTTGATAATAAATTAGATTTTTCTCAAACAGCAGCAATTCCCTTTTAATTTCAGGTCTTTTTATGTGGTTGACACACTTTTACACAATTCTTACTCTGCATTTAATTTAATGTGAACCTTTTTCTCTGTTTCAGGATGAGTTGACTGCTCTAAATGTAAAGCAGGGATTTAACAACCAGCCTGCTGTGTCTGGGGATGAACATGGCAGTGCCAAAAATGTCAACTTTAACCCCTCCAAGGTATTGATCAATCAGTCCGGTAAGCGTTATGTGTTGAGTAATTTGATGATTTATCAGTTATGAATTTATTTCCTCACTGCTTTACAGATCAGCTCAAACTTCAGCAGCATCATCGCCGAGAAGCTGCACTTCATGACATTTGGAGATACAATAAAGCGCAAACCACATATCAACACCAAGGATAATTTCTGGCTTGTCACAGCGAGGTCACAGAGCTCCATCAACAACTGGTTTACAGATTTAGCTGGAACTAAACCGCTCACACAGTTGGCTAAAAAGGTGAGAACCTTTGGCTACTTGTTTTTTTTTTTTTTTTTTTCGATCTTTGGTTACTTTAGATTTATCTAATATCATCAGGTGAAATGCCATCTCAACAACTTTGTCACCTTATCCAGTACTTGACCTTTACTTTAACTGGACCTACATATTTTCTTACAATCCAGAAAGCTCCCAAATGTTTGAAACCAATGAAAGCCGCATCTAAAAACAGATTAAATATAATGACAGAGCATGTTGAGACGAGAGGAAGAGAAGAAAAACTAATGAAGTCTGAAGCCCGGTCTCATGATTTGACAGGCTTTATGCTGTGAAATCAAAGTTTCTATATTCAGCCCAGTCATTGCATGTAAAAAACAAAACATGCATACCTTGAATTATTGATCTATGGTATGTTTTGATTTTTCAATATCAAAATAGAACAGGAAATTCAATTCAGTTTATTTATATAGCAACAATTAAAAACACAAGTCATCTCAAGGCACTTCAACCAGATCATACAGTCAAATTGATTTAAAGTTTTCTATCTAAGAAAACCTGTTGATTGCATCGACTCATTGACTCGGATATAATCCCTCACACTAAGCATGCTTGTAGCGACAGTGGAGAGGAAAAACTCCCTTTTAACAGGAAGAAACCTCCAGCAGAACCAGGCTCAGTGTGAGCGGCCATCTGCTGAGACAAAAAGCAGAAATACAAAACGAAACTGTAAAAGGCGACCCCATCTAGGAAAAACACAGCCAGGTAGACGGGCTCTGAGCCAACTCCCATGTCACAGGATGAACAGAGCGCATCCACCCAGTCACAGAAACAGGACTACACTGGAAAAACAGTGTAATCAAACTTTTTATGGAAAAAAGGAACAATAATCACCTTTTCTCTTTTGAATGTTAAAATAAAGACATCTTTAATATTTTTGTTAGTGTACCATATTGGATGTTCTGGCGCTTTAAAGTTTAAGTCGGCACTAAAATTATGTATACTTGTTATTCTTAGAGGATGTTTTGACTTTTTAATAATACGAGCCTTATTTGTCTCTATTTTAAACTGGGCTAATTCATTGCTTTACTACTATGAAATCAGTGGTCTCTCTGATTTCCAGCTGCTGCTGCCACCAAAACCTTTTTAAGAAATGTAGATTATGGTCTGAGATTTCTACTGTCCTTTAGTTTTTTGCAAATGATGGAGGTTACATTAGCTGTGCCAACTGTCTAGTTGGTGTAATATCTCTAAACCGTTATAACCCTACATTTCTATTATTTAAGCTACATTTTGATGACATTATCCTGTTTGATCCTCCTAACCCCAACGATTGTTTCCATTTTTCCCCCCCGGTTTATACCTAACCCATTGATTCTGTTTTTTTGTTTTTGTTTTTTTTTTAACAGATCTTTTTTATTTTTTTTTGGATTTGTTTGAATTTGTATTGTATAACCCTTACGACAGCCACGTTTTGAAGCAAAACTGGTATCATTGCAAGGGAAAGAAGTGGTACATTTAGTTGGGTTTAGATGAGCTAAAGGAAAAATCTAACAGGATTTTTAATTAGTTATACATATACATGTTTTTATTTAGGTCTTAAAATGTGAAAATTTTTAAAACATTTTGATAAACATAAAGCAAAGAATGAGCCATACATTTTTTTAAATTTCTATTTATATGGATAGCAAATTGTAAAAGGGCTATAATTGTGTAGGATGGTACAGATATTGAAAGTTTAGTTAATCCATCCATTCATCCATCTCTTTATGGGATTTTCCTGGTTGTTGCCTTTAAAACAGGTTTTCTAAGTGTAAACCTTGAAAATAGGTCACATAAAAACCAATAGAAAAAGGCTTTAGGTTTTTCCCTTTTTTAATTAGACACATTAGGATTTGTTTTTAATTGATGCTAAAGAGCCATGTCTGTTCCAGGTCCCTATTTTCAGCAAAAAGGAAGAGGTGTTTGGTTTCTTGGCCAAGTACTCGGTCCCAGTCATGCGTGCAGCATGGATGATCAAGATGACCTGTGCATATCATGCAGGTATCACAAATGCTAATGTCAAGAAGAGGCATGTGATGGATCCCTGTATCGGTGAGTCAAAAAAAAATCACGTCTTTTTGTTTTTTCGGTAGATTTTAAGTCATTTTGATTCATCTTAATTATGTGACTTTAAAATCCATTTTCGGTTGTTGTGTTTATAGAATGGACCCAGATCATTACTAAATATCTACTGGAGCAACTTCAGAAGATCTCAGAGTTTTACCGACAGTTTCCCAGTCAGGGGTGTGGCTCCCCTCTTCCAGTTATGCCTGCAGATGTGGAGACGGCCACGAAGCAGTGGGAGTACAATGAAAAACTTGCCATGTTTATGTTTCAGGTACATTTAAATACGGCACCTGTTTTTCTTCAGGAGTTACTGGATATGATTAATATTTATTATCCTTTGGTCCATTTTGTTTTCTTTTCCTCTGTTGTTTTCTATCCACACTTAATGAATAAATTTACTCAATTATTAGCAAATTAAGTTTAAATGCAGCTCAGAAATTTCAGCACTGTTACCTGGAAAGTGAGGATTTTTTTTGTTATATATAAACAAGAAAAAAAAGGCTGTTAATTTTTCAAGTTTTATCTGGGTAATTTAAGACATTTTTTTTTCATTTAGTTTATTAATAAACAACTTTCAATAATTTGTTTAGAATTAGAGATGGTGGAAGGGAGTTCAAGGATTTTGTGGCAAAGCAGATTTTACTCTTTTAAATGTGTTTAAATAATCTTTGGACGTTGTTTTAGAATAAATTTGACAATCAAAGATCCTTGAGTTGTTTTGACACTTGAGGAATGTGTTGACATTAATATGCGACCTTTATTTATTCAAATATATTAGCAATGTTGATGGAAGAAAAATATTTCTTTATTGGGAAAACGTATGTGGAAAAAGAAAAACCCTGTTTTCTTTATGGGAAATAAACTTGTCATTTGGCGTTTAAAGACTAAATCAGTAATATTTTTAAAAATAACGGTTGTGTTTCTCTTTGTTTGTAGGATGGCATGTTGGACAGACATGAGTTCCTGACATGGGTGCTGGAGTGTTTTGAGAAAGTTCGTACAGGTGAAGATGAGCTCCTCAGACTGCTGCTCCCTCTATTACTACAGGTAAAACACCTTTCTTAAAATGTGCCTTGCAACTATGAAAGGGTACTAAATCCGAGCATTAAAATCAGACGTCAAACGGTTCTTGTGGACCAAAGAATTTCAGCCTTAATAATAATTCACATAAAGGTATTATTACAATCTTATTTATTGAGACTCCAACTAAAGCCTCATTGTGGTGCTGATCTCCTCCTTAAGAAGCACAGACACCAAGGGGCTGATGGGAGGTTCAACACTCTGCTCTTCCTCTAATTTCATCCCCTGTTGACGTTAAGCAGGTTTTAAAACCCCTCTAGGGATCTTTTCTTTCTTAAGAACTGCTAGTGATAAATTTAGAGACTATTTTTCTGTGGTTGTTTGAGATTTTGACAACAGCAAATGGAAACAATGATCACTCTGAGTTTCTTAGAAAAGTGCGAGTGCAGCTGTGCGCCCCTGACAGGCTCGCCATGCAGCAGACAGAGCAGAGACCGACTCCAGGCTGTTTCCACTTTGAGAACGTGTCAGGCGATTCCTTGCTTTTTGCATTAGAATCAGATTTGAGAGCTTTAGTGTATTGTCAGGAGGGTTAAACAAAAATACTAAAGAAGCAGTTACTCACTACCAACATGTGTTTGCATGATCTAGATGTACTACAGATAAAAAGAACTGAAACATTCTGCACCTCCTTGTTGCATCCTTCCTCCATCTCTCGTAGATAAAGCCTTTAGACCTTAGAGACTCACAGGTTTTAATTCTTTGTAGAAGTTTATATTGATCTACAATTTGCTTCATTTGGTCAATTACAATAAAATTTTTCCATTCAGTCAGAGATTGAACAGATATTTACAAATTATTGACAAATTAGGGATTACGTGCATCAGAATATAGATGATTCTGAACAACTTTCTGAAGATTACAGTTGTTAGAAAGTCTTTTTGCCCCTTTCAAATATTGATTCCTAACTTGTTTAAATAATCTGACCTAGTATGCAGTCTGTTCAGGCTGCTTGGGAGAGGAAGATGGATGATACCATTTGGGAGCCTGAGCAGAATATGGTTCTGCTCTGTAAATGTGGAAAAAACACTTAATCCAATTTAAGGCAATACATAGAGTCCATTACTCAAAACTAACTTACAGCAGATTTATCCAACAATTTTCTCTTTATGTAATCATTGTTGTTTTTTTTTTTTCTGTCTGAATTTGTATACATTTTGGTAACACACTTTTTAAGATACAGTATTTAAGCCTTTTATTTAGATATACGGTTATTTAGGGTTGTTATTGTTTTATTTATGTATAAAATGTATTTATTTTGTACTTTTAATTTCTTCTGTGGGCCTTTTTGTTTCAAACAAACCCAAAAAATTCAGTGCTTTTTCTTTTTTTTATAAATTTTTTTTAAACCCAATTTAAAAAAAAAATTTATAGTAGTATTACTGATAAATCCTTAATGATGCCCTTCCCCTCCTAATTTAGCCTAATTTGTTTAAAAGGAGGGTTGTACAATTTCTAGAAATATTTTTCTTTTTTTGTTATTGGGATGCTAACTTCTCCTCCAGTCCTGACTCCAAATGCTTTCTAATGCTGCGAATCTCCCCTCTGTGTCTCAGTACTCAGGAGAATTTGTACGCTCTGCTTATTTATCACGGAGATTGGCTTTTTTCTGCACACGTCGCCTCAACCTGTTGCTAAGCGACGGCAGCCTGGGCCCTGGCGCGGGGGGTCACACGGCACACGGCATCCTCACACAGCAAGGCAGCGCTCTGCCCAGCACCCCGACCTCCCAGGCTGCTGGAGGGAACCATTCCCAGACGCCGTTCACAGATTTCTATGTTTGCCCGCAGCACAGACCTCTGGTGTTTGGTCTCAGCTGCATGCTGCAGGTGATTCCTTGAATTTTAACTCCTATTTCATTACAGCTCCATCTTTTATGTTAATCTTGTCTTGCGTTTTATTTTATTTTTTTCAAGAAACACAAGTTTTCTTACAGCTTTTATTTTTATATCTCTTCAGAGCATCGTCCTGTGCTGCCCCAGTGCTTTGGTGTGGCATTACTCATTAACAGACAGTAGAAATAAGACTGGATCCCCCCTGGACCTCCTGCCTATTGCCCCCTCAAGTTTGCCAATGCCAGGAGGAAACACTGCCTTCACACAACAGGTACCCCCTACTGCAGTCTACCTTTGCCTTCCTTACTCTTTTAAATAATCACCTTGTTTTGTTTTTGTTGTGCAGCAACTATTTTTATCCATGAAGTCATCAAAAAGATTTTAAGCAACGCTGAACAAAACAAATTATTAGTGAATCCCTGTAGCACAATAATAAAATGGGACATTTTAAAAGTGCTTCAGGGAACTTTTGCTTCATCGTCCATCAATCAAAAAACGACATTTTTATATAAACCAAGTTATTTTGATGTAGTGATCCAATCCTCACAAAACATAATTAGCTGAATTTCTGCTTGTCTCCGACATGTTTTAATCTTAATGCTACTCTGCAGGTTCGTGCAAAGCTGCGAGAGATCGAGGAGCAGATTAAGGAGCGAGGTCAGGCTGTGGAGTTCAGGTGGTCGTTTGATAAGTGTCAGGAAACAACTGCAGGTGAGGAAACTCTCCCCTTTGGTCCTTGCTGACTCCTTTTATTCTCCTCCCTTGAGGACAAGATGATATCAGATGGTGTTTCCTTTTTTTTTTAGGGTTTACCATTGGGAGGGTTCTCCACACCCTGGAGGTTTTGGACAACCACAGTTTTGAGAAATCAGACTTCAACAACTCCCTGGATTCATTGTACAACAGGATATTTGGTTCCGGTCAGAGTAAGGATGGCCATGAGGTACGGACAGCTTTCCTTGCTGAGTGTTTCATTATGCCTGTAATATAACTGGAAATCTCTTCAGTTAGAGTTTAAAAGAGGGGTTTAGACTAATGGGCCGTTTTAAAGCCCATTTCATTATTAGTGAATGAGCTATTAGGAATCTAAATGAGTTTTCCTGCTAGTTTCTTTGATACAGCTACTCAGTGACTCGTGTCTTTTTCCTTTAAATTCCTGTTTGTTCAGATGTCCCCTGATGACGATGCAGTGGTGACCTTGCTGTGTGAATGGGCAGTGTGCTGCAAGCGCTCGGGCAGACACAGAGCCATGGTTGTGGCCAAGCTGCTGGAGAAGAGACAGGCTGAAATAGAAGCTGAGGTAGGAGGCACAACTCCAGGAAGCAGAACACACATCACTCTGAACACAGCGTCTCAGCCTGGGAGTTTGGATGGAGGATGGATATCCTAAATGAAGGATAATCCTTGAAGACATGCAGTCAGAGCTGCAGTGGAAAGGTTTAGATCAAAACTCTAGGTGATAGACTGAGGCTCACCTGAAAATTACTTTTCACACAAGCTCTTCATCCAGCATGACTCATTAATTTGCAAAGGACAAATGGCAAAAGTTGAAGCTGCTGGGTGTGCAAAAATAAAACACGTTCTTCTATAATTGCCCAAATGTTAAAACGAAAGAAATGTATAGAATGTAGACTTTTACAAGACAAAACGCCTAATGTGACTCATAACCAGACAGTGGATATTGGAATGGAATTGAAACGACAATGAAAAACAAGGGGAGTTTACACATTTTTCCCATTGCCAAGTGTTGTTGAATTAGGTTTCATATTTGGATTCTCTGCTGCTGTAACAAACTTTTAATGATAATTTAAGTTTTGTTACAGGGGGAAAAATTAATTATTGAGTTGAGTGAAATACTGTATATCAATATATTTGGCCAAGACGAGACCAGACAGCTATCCAAAGACACTAGAGACAAAATTGTAAACCTCATCGAGGCTGGAAAGGGCTACAGGGAAATTGTCAAGCAGCTTGGTGAAAAAAGGTTCACTGTTGGAGCAATCATTAGAAAATGGAAGAAGCTAAAAATGACTGTCAATTTCTCTTGGACTGGGGCTCCTTGTAAGATCTCACCTAGTGGGGTCTCAATGATCCTAAGAAAGGTGAGAAATCAGCTCAGAACTACACTGGAGGAGCTGGTTAATGATCTGAGAAGAGCTGGGAGCACCGTTTCCAAGGTTACTGTTAATAATACACTAAGACATCTTAGGTTTGCCAATGACCATTTGGATGATCCAGAGAAGTCATGGGAGAAAGTCATGTGGTCAGATGAGATCAAAACAGAACTTTCTGGACATAATTCCACTAACTGTGTTTGGAGGAAGAAGAATGATGAGTACCATCCCAAGAACACCACTCCTACTGTGAAGCATGGGGGTGGTAGCATCATGCTTTGGGGGTGTTTCTGAACACATGGGACAGTGTGTCTGCACTGTAGTAAGGAGAGGGTGAACAGGGCCATGTATTGTGAGATTTTGGGGACCAACCGCCTTCCTTCAGTTAAAGCATTGAAGATGGGGACGCTGCTTCTTCCAAGATGACATGTATATAATCCAAAATTCTGAAAGGTCTTTTATAGCTTTGAAGAAGTACTATGTTATTCTCTATCTGTTTGTGACTCTAAAATCATGCTCCTGTTGTGTTGCAGAGGTGCGGTGAGTCAGAGGTGGTGGATGAGAAAGGTTCTGTGTCGTCTGGCTCCCTCTCAGCTGCCACCCTCCCAGTCTTTCAGGACGTTCTGCTGCAGTTCCTTGATACGCAGGCCCCCACACTCAGTAAGCCTCTGTTTATTTCCTCCCTTTGCATCTACCTGCTTTCTTTCTACATTGCATCACATTTGATTTTTGAAAAAAGTTTAAAGAAACTCAACCTCCCTTTTGTCGGTTCTTCTGATTCCAGCATTGTCTGAGTGTTTACCCTCAAAGTTGCAGCAGCTGAGAGCTAATATTAAATTATTCAAATCGTGTTTTTTTTTTGTTTTTTTCTCAACAGCGGAGCCGGGGAACGAAGGCGAGCGTGTGGAGTTCTCAAACCTGGTCCTTCTCTTCTGCGAGCTCATTCGGCACGACGTCTTCTCCCACAACATCTACATGTGCACGCTCATCTCCCGTGGCGACCTGGCTTCTGACTCCCACCTGCCGCGCCCGCGTTCCCCTAGCGACGAGCCCTCGGATGAGTCAGAGCGTAAAGAGCAGGAGGCTGGCAGCAGTGTCAAGATGGAGGCGAGTTAGAGGCCTTTTTGTAGCTTTAGAAAGCAACTAGTTTAAAAAAAAAAAGTAACCAGACACTGTTTGTCCAACAGGATACTGGTCTGTCTGAGTCCATGGAAATCGATCACTCCAGTGCAAACTTTGATGAGGTGAATAATTTGTATTTTGCCACCATTAGAAGTCACCCCTCAGGTGAATGTAGAGCTGTCAGATGAAATCAGGTTAGTTGATTCTCAGGTTCTATTTTCTCCTAAGATGTTCTCACCTCCGATGCATTGTGAGTCCAAGGGGAGCCCGTCTCCTGAGAAACCTGTTCAGGAGCAGGACAGTAAGAGCAACTGTAAGGAGAAAGGCATGGACCCCGCTTTCCCTCAACTGTATGAGCAGCCCCGACACATTCAGTATGCCACTCACTTCCCTATTCCACAGGTAAGGAGGCCCACTGTCCTGCTTTGGCAAAAGAAAAAAAAGTTTTTTTTATTCTGACAAGTTATTCCTTTTTACCTTATAGCTCTGTTTTCCTTCCTATCTGTTAATGTCTGTGCTGCTGACTGCATCCAGTTTAGTTGAGTTTTTTTTTGTTGTTTCCGTCTGTAGGAGGAGAGCGCCAGTCATGAATGCAACCAGCGTCTCGTTGTCCTCTACGGTGTGGGCAAACAGAGAGATGAGGCGCGACACACCATCAAGAAAATCACCAAAGACATCTTGAAGGTGCTCAACCGCAAAAGCACAGCAGAAACAGGTAACTGCGAGGCTCAGGTCTATTATCTTGTGATGGATGTGTCAGGTTTCTATTTGAGCTGGGGGTTTTTTATAGCCTGCACTTCTTTCAGAAACTCGTTTGAACTATATTTTATTTACTTTCAAGGCTGCATTAAAGTTTAATTCAACTCTCCTTTAATTAGCTGGAGTTTTCTGCTTCTCTCCGCAGATCAGAATTATTTACTTTTTGTTTTCCATATACCAAGAATAATCTTAGAAAGCAATACTGAGGAAAACAGATGTTGTATTTAACTGTTTGCAAACTCTGCAATCATGGAGGCTAATTAGCCCACCATATTACTCCATCTGTTTTCGTAATTATTATCTGCTGTTTTCTAACTTATTCTCCATTAGCCATAGAAGAGGGGATTTGTCTCTCTGTCTCCTTTCTACCACAGCTAGTTTCATTCTTGGCCAGATCATTTTGGATATAAGTTAACTTGTTCAGGTGATTTTCCAACTTACAATTTTGTTGTTTCTCAGAAACCAAAGACACTTTTTTTTTAGTTAAAGTGTCTGTTACTCTGTGAAGCTTGAATCAAAGGACTAATGAACTTCTTGAGTGCATTTTACAGCTGGCCTGTTTGGCTGACTGAAAGAAACGCTGTTGGATAATCTATCCTTCCCTCTGGGATACAGGTGGGGAGGAAGGACAAAAGAGGAAGAGGAGTAAACCCGAAGCCTTTCCAACTGCAGAGGATATCTTTTCCAAATTCCAGCACCTTTCCCACTTTGACCAGCATCAGGTCACCTCCCAGGTAGGAAAAACGGAGCTTAGTTTGCAATGTTTGCAGCGTGCTGTGAAGAATGGGCCAGGGAGGGGTCAAAGACAAATATGATAGAAATGTTGGGGGAAAAAAACCTTTATATTTCTAAATTTTAAGACTTGCAAGAGAACACAACATAGATTTATATTTAAAAAAAAAAAATCTAATATTTATGTCCTGACTCGATAACAGAGTTGAACTCAATTCACTGTGAACACATTAATTTATATAGCTGACATGTAAATGAGACCCGCTCTCTGCACTTAAAAAAAAAAAAAAAAGAAAAAAAAAAAAGAAATGCACATGCACAACCCTTTGCCCACTCCTGAGAGGGAACGCCTATTAAACAGGTGTGAGTGTGTGCACAAGCCCATTTCTCCTCACGCATGCTATGTTTAAAATTTGCTGTTTGCATCACTCATACAAACTTCCTTTCCAAAAGAAGATTTGCAATCTTTCCACTATGTCAGACTCACCACCGGTAAGTGAAAATGGGGACAAGCACGTAGCCTTATGTAAACAAATCACCAGAATGATTGACAATTAGGAGGACCACTTATTTTGATGATCCACCCAGAAAAAGAACATCCTCCCCTGTACCTTTAATAAAAAGGAGTAATGCATCATTTCAATATGCATGTTGGCAATGGGTGGGAAAGCCTATGGGCTTTAGTCTCAGGGTGTAATAAAGGTTTAAATTCAATTTGGTTACATATTGGAGGATGTGTCAGGAGCCCATTGTGATCCAGAAATATTTTAAAAGGTTCTGGTGTCTTTTAGAAAAAGAAAAAAACTGGCATGGATCCCAGAGTCAGGTCTGCAGGGAGCTGATGTAGAGGTTACTTAAGGTCAAAAGCTGTTTCTTTGTTCTTATGGGTTTTTTGTTTGGCTTAAGACCTTCTGACTGCAGCTAAGCTCTTGCTCTATTTATACTGAACTAATATTTGTCTCTCTTTGGATGCTTAGCTGTGGTTTTTGTGCTGACTCTGCGAGGTCAATTTTAAGATTTTTTTTTTTTCGTTTTAAAGAGTAAAGACAGCCAGGGTCGTCTGGTGCTTTATTTTGGCTACCAGCTTTACACTTCACTCATCCTTAAAGTGTTTTTATTCATTCGTAGCTTTTATAGTTTATCTCAGATTACAGCTATATTGGGTTGAGTATCTTTTGCATTATATTTCCTGTCTGCTCTGTGTTTAGGTTTCCAGAAACGTTCTGGAGCAGATCACCAGCTTTGCCTTAGGGATGTCCTATCACCTGCCCCTCGTCCAGCACATTCAGTTCATTTTTGACCTAATGGAGTACTCCCTGAACATCAGTGGCCTCATAGACTTTGCTATTCAGGTAACAACATTTTAAAGTTTTTAACCCAATCTGTTAAAGCCACGAATGTCCTGGTTTGTTTTGGAAACTCTTGTAACTCTTTGCTTTTGTAGCTTTTGAACGAATTGACTCTGGTCGAAGCTGAGCTGCTGCTGAAGTCGTCCAGTCTGGTGGGCAGCTACACCACCAGTCTGTGCCTGTGTATCGTAGCTGTGCTGAGAAGATACCACTCCTGTCTCATTCTTAACCCGGAGCAGACTGCACAAGTTTTTGATGGGTGCGTCATTCACAAGCTACTAACTTTTCCATTTGGCTTTTTCTTTTATTTTCTACTTTTTATGTTGTTTACATTAAAACAATAGAACGATTTTCTAAGCTAATTGGCTTTTAGTGAGAAGTCATTGAATGTTTAAAAGCAGTAAAAAGGATGTTTTTAGTTGAAGCGGTGAGCAGATAATTAGCTATTTCCACAAACACTTCGTGACGGCTTCCAAAGAGCCGTAATCGGAGCACTAAATACAAACACGTTGACTTTTTCGGCCCAGAACAAGACTCTAAAAAGAAGGAGAAAATTGTTCTTATGAAGTATTTTTTTTATTGCTGAGCTTTAGTGGGGATGGAGCAGAGTCTTTGTAGTTTTCAGTTTAGAGCTCGAGTTCTGTGACTTTATTTTAAAGTATTTTTTTAGGACTGTTTTTGCAGGGATTAATAATACTGTAGCTAAACTTAAAACTAATTGAGTAAAAGACAAAAGATGCTTTTAAGGTTGTGTTTCTTTAAACTGGGGCTGGAGAAATAATTGCATTGCTATAGAATGCCATTAAAAACAAATCACTTTTTTTTTTTTTCAAATCCCAGTGGGACTCTATATTTTTGGTCAAGTTAAGATTTTAAAAGACTAAGACACTAACTTTCTCACTCCAGCTCTCTAATGCATTCAAAGTGGGTTTTCTGAAAGGTCTTTTAAAGCTTTGAAGAAGTACTATTTTACTCTATCTGTTTCTGAATGTAAAATGCACTCAGATCCATGCAAGCTAGAAGTAAACATTTCCACACAAAAGACTTGGACAACTTTTATTGCCATTTTGTACACGCAGTGTTTACAAAAAAAAAAAAATTGTTTTGTACGGCTCACATGTACAGCTCTTATTTCCACTTCTTGAAGCACAGCAGTGATAAAATGTAAACATTGTGGAAGACAAAACATGGTGCAAAAAACATATTGATATGGTCAGTTTGATGCAGAGTCTGTGACTTGATTTGGAGTTTTTTTTTCCAACATTCAGCTGTCTGATGGCAGTGGGGAAGAAGCTGTTTCAAAATCTACTGGACCTGCATTGAATGCTGCGAAGCCTCTTCCTAGAGGGCAGCAGGGAGAACAGTTCATGGTGGGGTGTGAGGGGTCATTGATTATGTTCAGAAGTGAAGTTCTGTGACAATGGACAAGTATTTAAGGCCCTGACAGCCACGTAAGAGTGGGGCCAAACATTTCATAGAAATTGCAACTTTATTTTTGGCAGATTTGCACAGCCCTACTTTAATTGGATGCACCTTTGCTAAAGTAGTGGACTTTTTCTCCGCCTGAATATAAAGTAATGGCCTCAAAAGAAAATTCTTACAGTGACGTCTTTCATCCTGCTCTAGTTATAGAGGACTGCTCTCCCAATTAGAGGTTTATTTTCCTACTTGTATCGGACATATGAGTATATATGAGATTATTCACAATCTGGATGATTTAGATAAAAAATATTTTCATCAACCAAAAGGTTTCTTCCCTCAAAGGACTGGCATCTCTGATTAGATACTAAAACAATGTTAAAGGAGGAAAAAAATATTTTATCTCGTTTGTTTCATTAAAATGTCTAAAACAATATTTACACCTGCTTGATAAATCGGTGGAAATTGTCATAGACTTAAGACAACTGTCTGATTTAGAATTTAGGTATTACAGGTTTTAAGGTGGTTTAAGCTTGATTATAAGAAAACAAATGGGTTTTTAATCACCTAGAAATGGAAACATGAGGAAATACTGCGTTTGCAATCTTCCTAAACTGTTTGAAACCCAGGGTCATAATTTTAACAATCTCCAAAACACATTTCTTAGGTACAAATCAAGATGAAGTTTTGTTCAAAACAAAAGTGTTTGAGAGAGCTCATCTAGTCAAGTATTCGTCTCCATGCTCTGTGGATGTGTTGGTGGGTTTCTTGGATGTCCTGTTTGACCCATTTGTGTGACCCTTTACCCAGGCTGCGGGTCGTGGTGAAGTCTGGTGTGAACCCAGCGGACTGCTCCTCCGCAGAGCGCTGCATCTTGGCCTACTTGTATGACCTCTACACTTCCTGCAGTCACCTCAAGAACAAATTTGGAGAGATCTTCAGGCAAGTCCATTTCCCATTTCCTGTCAAGCCAGACTGATAGTGGGAGGCCCTGAGGTTTAGTTCTACACATTAATCTGGGACTTCTCCGCTTCAATCTGTTGGAGGAAAAGAGGGACATTTAGCTGATTTGACAAAGCAACACCTGGTGCCCACCTACCGAAGTTTTGTTTCAGCCAATCACGGTGACAAATTAAATAGCAACAGACTCCATGAAAAACTGCAACCACTCATGATTTTATGCTCTTGCTTTTCCTTTCATAGAGGAAATCAGGGTTTCTAACAACAGCAGCTGTGTTTGCTTCAGCTGCAGCTTTTTGCTTTTATCACAGCTGTAAGTCCTGCTTTAGGTCATAATACTGAAACGTGATCGGCCGACCCTTTTTTGGTTCGTTCTCCGACAGTTGAAGTGGTACAAAATGGATTTTCATGTTTTATGGACGCACCCATTATGAATTCAGCTTGCAGGGGAGGTTAAATTTCCTAGCCTCGCCTGTGAGCTGAATCCTCATGGTGTTTACATCACCAACATATCAGCAATTATCTCGTCCAGCTTTGACTGTTTCAGTCTGGCCCAAATCCGTTCTTCTCCCAAAGAGATTGAATCAGAACTAAACCTGTTGGCTGCAGAGGATCAGTTCCTCGGCCTCAGAGAAGCTGTATTAATATCTGCAGCAGAGCCTTTTTCAGCAGTCCTCTGTTATTTCATTTTTGGGGCCAGGTAACCTCTGAACATCTCTCCTTCCTTTCACAGCGAGTTCTGCTCCAAGGTGAAAAACTCCATCTACTGTAACATCGACCCGTCTGATTCCAACATGCTGTGGGATCCTCCGTTCATGATGGACACCATCAGCAATCCCTCAGCCAACAACAACCACTCTATGGTGGGCAAAATCCTCAACGACAGCCCAGCTAACCGCTATAGCTTCGTATGTAATGTGCTCATGGAGGTTTGTGTGGACCACAGAGACCCAGAGAGGTTTGTAGCACTTATATTCAACAAATCCCAGTTGTATAGATTTTTTTTTATATCGATGTTTATGTGATTCCAGGGTGAATGATCTCGGCATCCTGTGTGCGGAGCTGACAGCATATTGTCGCTCTTTGAGCGCAGAGTGGCTCGGCATCCTTAAAGCTCTTTGCTGCTCGTCCAACAACGGCAACTGTGGTTTCAACGATTTGCTTTGCAACGTTGATGTAAGTCCTTCTGACCTCTATGTTCTTGAACCCATGCTGATATTCCATTTTTAAATATGCAATTATCTGGTCATTTTCAGTCTAATTGTGGCACGTTTGTCCCCTCAGGTTAGCGATTTGACCTTTCATGACTCCCTGGCAACCTTCGTGGCTATTCTCATTGCGAGGCAGTGTCTGCTCTTAGAGGACCTGGTCCGCTGTGTGGCCATCCCCTCCCTCCTGAATGCAGGTAAGCTCTGGGAAATGTATAAGGCTTGGTATTGGAGCGTTTAATGTCACGCTGATGCTCCTGGCATCGGAAATTTTCCCAGATCGATCTTTACTTCTGTAAGCGACTGACGTTCAGAAAAACTGATTAGATCCTTTAAACTTTGTATGTGGTTTGAAGAAAATTCTGTCATAACATTTTTTTAATCATTAATTGTAAGGCCTGCTGTTTTGAATTTTGACTTCTTTCAATGAATAATATTTCAAGACTGCAACCCATATAAGGAAATTTGGTAATGGCTCTGAATCTACTGTAAAATTAAGGTTAACAGGATGATTCATCTGAATTTTATTCAACTTAAAATACATCAAATAGAATCTTCTGTGCCACTATTTATAGCCATCATCTAAAACCCCTTCCTTTTTGATGCATTTAGGGAATGGAGAAGAAAATCAGAATTTTCCAGTATTTCAACTAAAATCAACAGAAGAAAATTTATCTGATTCTGACCTTTGACAGATTACATTTTCTCTAATCTTTGCTATAACCTTAACCTGAATATTTCTTACGGTGATTTGGATTTATTTGATTTGATTAAACATTCAGTAAATAAGTAAAAAGTATATTTTGGATGAGTTCATGAGGATCTCTGGCAGTAAAAAATGTAAGTGAAGTGTGTCTAATCCTGGAGGAGAAGGAGGATTTCTGGGAGGAGGTTTACAAATTGGTTGATTGACATTCCTGATGAATTTAGTGCATCATATTTGCATAACAATACATAAACCTGCTTCTAATGAATGCATCTCAACCACAGCCTGCAGTGAGCAAGACTCTGAGCCAGGAGCGCGATTAACCTGCAGGATCCTTCTTCACTTGTTTAAGACGCCACAGCGTAACCCTGTCCCACAAGATGGGCTCAAATCAGGTACCTGACTGAAAAACAAACGAACGATTGTTTTGAAGAAGTTGATTTTTATTAATTTGTGTGATTATTTATCTTTGCAGACAAATCATCAGTTGGTATCCGTTCATCTTGTGATCGACACCTCCTTGCTGCTTCGCAGAACAGCATCGTTGTTGGAGCGGTCTTCGCTGTCCTTAAAGCTGTATTTATGCTCGGTAGTAATATTTGGATCACTATTTGTCTTTTACATAGGCTTTCAGAAATCACTCTGTCCATCTATGCATCCATGTATCCATCCGATGTACAAATGCTTACTATTGGCTAGATATTTGTTTGTAAAGGTGTGAACTCTTGTGAGAAAATCTGAGACTGATTGAATCTCAATATGCAAAAAGCTTGTTTTTCGATTTAGAGAAGCTTTTTTTTTTCTTTTTTAGTCATACTGGATTTGAAGAGAGTTATCAGACATGGTGCTGATTCTGCTAATCTTCTTCTGTTTAGATTTACTTATTTTTTTTTCTCATGTTTATCAAGGTGATGCAGAGCTAAGAGGCTCAGGGCTGTCGCATCCTGCTGGCCTTGATGACATATCAGACGGCCGCAATGTCTCCATAGAAACGGCCAGCCTGGATGTGTATGCGAAGTATGTCCTGAAGACTATCTGCCAGCAGGTAAAAATGATTTGAAGAATGATCCCCATTGAGCTGTTAGTATTGCATTATCTGGCTGAAGTCTTTATGACAATGAGAATAAAAAAAGCTAAATCCTCAATTATTTGAAATCTAATCTTTAGTAGTTTCCTGCTCTTGTATTTCTCTTATCTTACTGTTTGATGTTTCCCCCCTCAACCTGTCTGCCTGTTTCATTGTGTTCTTGCAGGAATGGGTGGGAGAACGCTGCCTGAAGTCTCTCTCGGAGGACAGCAGTGCCCTCCAGGACCCGGTGCTGGTAAACATTCAGGCCCAGCGACTGCTGCAGCTTATCTGCTATCCTCACCGCCAGCTGGACAGCGACGAGGGTGACAACCCCCAGAGGCAGCGCATCAAGCGCATCCTGCAGGTATGGAAAGAAGTTTTAATTCACATTTACTACAATTAATTTCTTTGTGACAATTTATTTAATTTAAAGACTAAAACTAACTTTTTCTACATTAATCTCTTAATGTGCTGCTTAGTTTAATCTGTATGGCTTTGCTGCCACCTGCTGGTTTCTGCTGTCAATGTAATAGCTGGCTTCTGACAGACTAAATTGTTGTTGTTTTTTTTTATTTTGCAGAATATGGACCAATGGACAATGAGACAGTCATCGCTGGAGCTGCAGCTGATGATCAAACAGAGCACAAATAATGTAAACCCAACTCCAGAGATTAAAATTGTAATTATACTGATGTCTGCTGCTTTTTGACACATGATGTGACAATATTTCCTTTTCTATCATTTAGGAGCTTTACTCTCTCCTGGAGAACATAGCAAAGGCAACAATTGAGGTTTTCCAGAAATCGGCGGAGATGAACTCCAGTAACCCCTCAGGAAATGGAGTCGCAGTCCAAGGAGGCTCCGCATCCAGTAGCACCAGCACCGCCAGCAAGATGAAACCTATTTTAAGGTGAGTTTCTGTCGTGTTTTGCCTGCTTTTATTAATATTTTAAATAGGATTATGTGTCATTTTTGGTAGGACTTCTATGAGATCCTTAAATGTATCTTAATTTCAGATCTTAAAGGCCTGAATTTTTAATTATTACATTTTATTTGTTAGTGTTACACAGTCTATGTTCTGAAGAGCTCTGCTGCCTTCATGTCCCTTTTCCATCTATTGGTAGCTATTGTTTATTTAATACTATATGGCTCTGACCCAGCAACTAAATTCATGTGTCACCTAACATTCATTTATCCACAAACGCATGAAGAAAATCGGCAACCAGCTTATTTTTGTTCCTTCATGAAATATATAAGAAAGTTTGCATGTGAGCTGCAGACTAATAGTAGAGCACAACCTTCACATTAGTGATTTGAATCCCTCTAAATCATAAAATCTCCTGGTCAGAAAGAGCCCACTGTTGGCTTATTAACTGAAAAGTGCAGTCTGTAGGGGATGATGGCCAATCACCATCACCTGTGTTAATGACTGGTAAACATCAAGAGTCTGTAGTTCCTGCAAGGCACATGCAGAGCTATATGAGATCTGATCAGGCCAAGTTTGACCTCCTTGGAATCAAATCGACTTTCTTTCTTTCTTTAATCATACAGTAGAGTTTGAGATGATAATCTCCTGGCCTTAGTTAGATGGGTGGTGGTAGTACTGCGATGCTGATTGAAATGATTTGCAATATGTGCATACTTTCCTCTTATTTGTTTTCTGATGTCTTAGCGTTTATACTATCCTTTGGAAAATATATTTATTACATAATATTATTGCATTAAGGTTTTTGCTATAGATTTTTGCAGCCTTGATGAATGGTCAAGTTAGATTGAAAAGCTGTGGTGGATGACAGAAATCCTGAAAAGCTGTTTTTTAAAAGGAGTGGATCAACTTTAAGATGGGATCAAACCAGGTGATCAACAACGATGAGGGCCTGAGCTCTGCTGGCCAACATAGCGCTAAATCACATTGGGCGCAAGCTTCAAATACTTATTACGCTTGAACACTATTTTCTCTAACTTTTTGTGAATTTCTGTCCTATTTAATAAACCTACCACAGATTTTAAGCACCGTCAGTTTCTTTATATGGTGGGCACACTATAAAATCAGCAGAGGTTTGAATAATTATTCCCCTACAGGACAATCTGACAGAGTAACTTGATGTACATTTTCTTAATTTAAATGTTTAGCCTGCTTAAAACATCAGAAAGCCTGTTGTAACTCTTAAGGAGGTAATATGTCGATTTGACTTAAAGCTGACAGGTTCATTATTTCCACCAGCTCATCAGAGAGATCAGGCGTTTGGCTGGTCGCTCCTTTAATAGCCAAGCTGCCCACATCAGTCCAGGGTCATGTGCTGAAGGCAGCCGGAGAGGAGCTGGAGAAAGGTCAGCATCTCGGCTCCTCCTCACGCAAAGAGCGAGACCGGCAGAAACAGAAAAGGTAGGCCACCGATTTCTCGGAGCGCAGTAATTCTAACTCTCAGTAACTGTTGTTTGTTGTCTATACTGTGTTTGTTGAAACTGCACGTTTCTCCACTTGCAGCATGTCTCTGCTGAGCCAGCAACCTTTCCTGTCCCTGGTTCTCACCTGCTTGAAGGGGCAGGATGAGCAAAGGGAGGGCCTTCTCACCTCCCTGTACAGCCAGGTCCAGCAGATCGTCACCAACTGGAGAGAAGACCAGTACCAGGATGACTGCAAGGCCAAGCAAATGATGCACGAGGCTCTGAAACTACGGCTTAATCTCGTAAGCATTTTTAAACTGTCCTTGTTGATTTATTGTTCGGAAACAGTTTACTTATCTTCTGTCTGAATCAGGTTGGTGGCATGTTTGACACGGTGCAGCGGAGCACCCAGCAGACCACCGAGTGGGCAGTCCTGCTGCTCGACATCATCAGCAGTGGCACCGTGGACATGCAGTCCAATAAGTGAGTTAACGCTGCTCGTTGAGCTGCACACTCTAGTAAGTTGTCGTGCTGCTTGGCTCTTACCCTCACTTCTCTTTTACAGTGAGTTATTCACCACTGTGCTGGACATGCTGAGCGTGCTGATAAACGGCACACTGGCTGCTGACATGTCCAGCATCTCTCAGGGCAGCATGGAGGAGAATAAGAGGGCGTACATGAACCTGGTTAAGAAGCTCAGGGTAAGATTTATATCTGATACAGGCAAGATATTAAGACTTTATGATGTTAATGTATTTAAAGCTGGTTATCCTTACAAGTAGATAGAACTACTATAGACCTGATTCAGATGGATAAAATATTAGAAGATTAAACTTTCATGCCAGCTCAAATGGTAGAAAGGCAATTTGTGAACAAGTGCCAAACTTAAAGAGATGGAAGGGATTCAGAGGTCAGATGGGAGCATCTGTCCCCAAACCAACCTGCTACTAGCCATGAGCTATATGGAGGGAAAGGAACACTGCACATCTCCCTGAATATAGAATCTCTGACAGTGGAGGCAGCATCATGCTGTGGGAACGCTGGTCAGTGTTGATAGGCAGATGAATGAAGCTTAGAAATGGACTTTCATACAGAAAACCTTAGCAAAGGTCAAAAAAGTTCAAGCAAATAGAAAGATATATATATATATATATATATATATATATATAAACTAAAACTTGTTTTTACTTGACAAAAAGCCAAGACGTTCGAAGGGAATAAATACCTTCAGGGAACAGCAGTGTCATCTGGAAGCAGCTGAAATAAAAAGAGTTTTTATTAGAGCTTAAATAAAAAACTGATGGAACAAAGCAACATTTTCTGTTGCTTTTGTGTATCCCTATAGAAAGAGCTTGGAGAGCGGCAGTCCGAAAGTTTGGAAAAGGTTCGCCAGCTTCTGCCGTTGCCAAAGCAGTTTCGTGATGTCATCACCTGTGAGCCTCAGGGCTCGCTGGTGGACACAAAGGGCAACAAGATTGCAGGCTTTGAGAAAGAGGTAACAACAGGGTTCTCCTTCCCTACCTCCATCATTCCTTCCTCTTCTATAGCCTTCTTTGTTTTCCTTGTCTCCATGCACTGATTATTCTTTCTCACAGGCTTTTCTTGAGACCCTTTTCCACTCCCTTTTAGTGATTACTTCTACCCTGTATCTTAACCATCACCCTCTCCCCTTCATCTACCATTCTTCTATCCTTATATCCTTCCATTTCCCTTGCCTGTTGTCTATTCTTTGTTCTTCTTGCTTCATTGGGTCCCCCCCCCCCCTACTTGTCTGCTTAGAAGTTATGTAGCTGAATCACTTAAAGGATCATTTTTTATTGAAGTTTTTTCTGCTCTAATCAGGGTCTTCAAGTCTCAGCCAAACAGAAGATTTCTCCATGGGATATCTTCGAAGGTCATAAACAACCAGCTCCAATTTCTTGGGGCTGGTTTGGGGCGGTGCGCGTGGATCGTAAGATTGCCAAGTTTGAAGAACAGCAGCGTTTCCTGCTCTACCACACCCACCTGAAGCCCAAACCGCGGAGCTACTACCTGGAGCCGCTCCCCTTGCCCCCAGAGGAAGAGGAGCCTCTGACACCCATTCAGCAGGAGCCAGAGAAGAAGATGATGGAGGTGGTAAAAGTAGAAAAGAACGTGGCTGCCGTTCCCTCAGAGTCTAGCAAGAAGAATAAGAAGAAAAAAAAGAATCCTTCCACCAAAGGAGAGGTCTGTGATCTCGGCAGCTTAATTGTATTCTTAGACACTTGTGATTCTGTGATTTCATAAATGTTTCATTTTCCTTTGTTAGGATTATTTGAACCGCACTCAGGGTGCCATGACCTACATGACTAATGTGGCTCCAGATTCAATGCAGACTCACCAGTACGGTCGGGTGCCCTACGCTCAGCAACCCATTTTCCCCCAGAACCAGCCCCTGCCTCCAGGTCAGCAGACAGAATACTTTCATCCTAATCGTACGTCCTGTTTTGGCACTCGGCAGTAATCCTCCACCTGTACCGAACGCCCTCTGAGATCTTCGTTGGTGACCTTTGTTTTTTTTCCTCAGGAGGTCCAGGTTTAGAGACCCCATACAGGCCCACCCGCAACCCACAGATGAACAAAATGTTAACCAACCGCCCTACCTACCCATCCGCCATGATGGACAAGCAGTACGGAATGGCATATAAGCCTCAGCCCAGTATGCCTCAGAATAACCTGCGACATCAGTTAGCGGTCAGACTGGTAAGTTGGTCCACTTAGACAAGGTCCAGCAGTTTCTGTTACACACATATGGCTGAAAAATAAAACAAATAATCTTAAGTTATTAAATAATCAGTCAAATCTGAACTTTTTTCTGACTTCTCAATTCATGGATTACTACAATAGTATTTTGTTTAGAGCACTACCCATAATACACTAAATCATGATTTAGGTATTCCCCTGCCTCTACACACCTGACTTAAAGGGGTCATAGAATCCAAAACTGAGTTTCCATTGTCATAGATAAAAATAATGATAGTTCAGTGGGTGAAATGAACATACAGAGAAGATCAAACCCCATCGACGACTCTTTTCTCTGCAAATCTCACAATTCTAAACTTCCTCCATAAAATGGGCAAATCCAAACGAAACACTGAATTGTGATTAACTCTGGGATGTTGCCTTATTTGGTTCTGGCCTGTACTTTCGTCATGCCGTGAAATTGACATACAGCCTAGCCCACTGGTTCACTGGCCCAAGAACATATATAGAGGTAAATGTAAGACACCAGTTTAGCTGTTTAGCTTACAGTTGGGTTTACTTCTACAAGAATTTCAAAGCGGGCAGTTTCTCTATTGAAAATGAGCCAGAACCACGGGTGTAAATGCTGTGGTCCAGGTTGCACAGAGAAAGGGGACATTTTTCACAGTCTTCCCAAGCATCCGAAGACGGGCATGGATTATTTTTGTCTATCAAAAGATCCCTGCAAAGTTTGATGCTCAGCTCTTCATTTGCTCTAAGCATTTTACCAAAGACAGCTTTCAAAATCTCCCACAGTTCAAAGCAGGATTGGCTCGGGGTCGGGGGCGCTGCTGGACTGCTGACTGGCCCGGACAGGGCCCTCGAACCGATCCGCCAGCTCTGGGGCTGGCCCGGAAACCCTGGCAGACAGGGGGAGGGAGCCAGCGGGGGACGGAGCGACTGAACCCGCCCCGGTGACGGTATGCTTTTTCAGTAAGGCTGGCGGGGGAAAGCACAGGGCCGCCGTGTCCAGGCTACTGTCACCGGGTTTGGTTTGGTCACTCCGTACCCCGCTGACTTCTGAGGAGGGAGTCCAATCATTTGACGCAGGTGTGCTGAACCAGAGGCGCATCTATAATACACAAGACGGCACTAAAGATAACACTGCAAGGGCATTAAATCTATATACAGTTGTGTTCGAAATAATAGCAGTGCCTTTAGAAAAATGAGTAAATGTCAAAATTCTTCAAAGAAATTGTACTTTAATGAACACAGATACATTGGGGACACAGTACATTCTATTCCAAAGCAAAACAATTGCGCAAAGTCATCAAAACTTAAATAATAATAATAATATTTCAAATAAACTAAGAAATGGCATGTTCAAAAGAATAGCAGTGTTGCCATCTTTCCTTGGAAACTCAAAAATGTACTGTACAAACAAAGAAATTCTTGATAAGTGAACCTAGCTGAGTATCCTAAACTAATATTTTGTTGCAAAACCACGGTTTCTGATGACTGCTTCACATCTGTGGTGCATGGAGTCAACCCACTTCTGGCATCGTTCCACAGGAATTGCAGCCCAGGATAATTGCACTGTCTTCCACCATTCCTCA